ATATGAGAGTTGAAGTCGGTTTTTTTTTTGCTAAAAATTACTTGTTTATTTAACTTTTTAATCACGTGCATTTGTGCAATATTACAAGATCTTAACAGTTATAAGTACGCGATCAGATAAAACATAAATGATACGTCTTACATAATTGCTTAATTTTAGAATTATATTGCAGAGAAATCATATGAAAGTAAAACATAATAATAACAAAACGGTAAGATAAGATTTGAATTATATGCACCTATATGCACATATAAGTATGTACTCGTATATGATTTCCTGGGTGTCAAGGATGCTTGACTGTTAAGGAATCCACCAAGCGGGGAATTTGTGAAGGTGGCTTTGCTTATCTGACATCTTTGTCACCCATGCGGTGTTTAAACCCGGGGGTCACACTTAAATGCTGACACTAATTTGCGCAATCTGAAAAGTATTTAACGGTATATTTATAAGTAATACAATACTTAATATATTTAAACAAAAGTTGAAGTACATACCAACGGACTTTTATTAAAATCTGTGTGCTATCCAAATTAAATTATTGTGTCCTCCTTATGCGTCTATCAGAAATATTTTCTGTTGGTTTTTTTTCTATGATAAATTTTTCGAAAACACAAAATTTCTTTTGAACGAGGTGCGTATTGCTCTCCTATCAATCAAAAAGAATACTCTTGGATTTCTCGCTTAGGAGACATAACTTTTTGCTCCTAAACGAGTAATAACGGAGTACAAAACCGACAAATCTCGTTTATTGCTCCCAAATCATGCCTCAGGGAGCATTCTTTAATTGCTCGCTTTGGAGATCTCTCATTACGCTCCTAAGCGAGCAATACAGGAGGACAAAACCGGCCGAGATTTGTCGCTTTTGTCCTCCTGTATTGCTCGCTTAGGAGCGTAATGAGAGATCTCTTAAGCGAGCAATTAAAGAATGCTCCCTGGGGCATAATTTGGGAGTAATAAGCGAGATTTGTCGGTTTTGTACTCCGTTATTACTTGTTTAGGATTAAAAAGTGATGTCTCCTAAGCGAAAAATCCAAGAGTATTTTTTTTGATTGATAGGAGAGCAATGCTAACCTCGTTAAAAATAAATTTTGTGTTTTCGGAAAAAGTTATCATAGAAAAAAAACCAACAGAAAATATTTCTTATAGACGCATAAGGAGGACACAATAATCTAATTTGGATAGGACACAGATTTTAATAAAAGTCCGTTGGTATGTACCTCAACTTTTGTTTAAATATATTAAGTATTGTATTACTTATAAATATACCGGTAAATACTTTTCAGATTGCGCAAATTAGTGTTTGCATTTAAGTGTGACCCCCGGGTTTAAACATCGCATGGGTGACCAAGATGTCAGATAAGCAAAGTCACCTTCACAATTTCCCCGCTTGGTGGATTCCTGAACAGGCAAGCATCCTTGACACCCAGGAAATCATATACGAGTATATACTTATATGTGCATATAGGTGCATATAATTCAAATCATATCTTACCGTTTTGTTGTTATTATGTTTTACTTTCATACGATTTCTCTGCAATATAATTTTAAACTAGAGTTCCAGTTACTGTCGAAATTCGACAGTTTTTCTAGTTTTAGAAGCCTTGAAGAGGTTGTCTAACTTAACACGTAGCGATACAAATTAACTAACCGGAAAATCTTCTGCTAAAACGTAACTTTTTTTTTTATCTGAGAAGGTCTTTGGAGGACTTCGGCAGGACTTGGAATTGGCCCGATACACTCAAGTTTATCGATAAATTTCGATGATTTAATACATATCGATAGTTCGATGAATTTCAAGAACACTAAAATTCGATAACTCAACAAAATTCGTTAACTCGACCAATTTCGATAACTGTGAAATTCGATGGCTCGATAAATTTCGATAACTCAAAAATGTAAAAACTTTGGATAACTTTATAAATTTTTACTTTTGACATCTCCACATTTTTCGAAGACTATCTAAACATTTTGATAACTTGTTACACTCTGTTAAGACGATTAAATTCGATAAGCAGTGATAAATCGATAAGCTTATATAACCTTGAAATTTCGATAAATCGATATATTTTGAAAATTCCATAAACTTTGCTTTGTTGAACCAACCAATTTCAGTAGATCAATAATTATCGATAACTCTGTAAGTTGAAAGAACTCCATGCATTACGACTCCTCGATATATTTTGTTAAGTCTATAAATAATGATAATTCAATAAATATCGATAACTTGATACATTTCTTTAAATTGCCAAATTTCGTTAATCTCACACGTTTTTATAGCTCGATAACTATCCGTAAATTTGGACAACTATGTTTCTGTGTCTATAAATTTCGACAACTCAGTAAACATTGATCAGTTTGAATAATTCGATACGTTGCGATAACTTAATAAGCATGGATAAATTTCGATAATTATAAACTTCGATGATTCGATAAAGTTCAGTAACCTTTATGGCTGATTTTATTTCGATTCCTATATTTTAACCTAATTCTTATGTATTTCTCATTGTCTCCATTTTCGCCTTTATCGCAATTTTCGTCTTTGTCTTCACTTTTACCTTTTTTTTGTCTTCATCGTTATCACTTGTTTCTTCATCTTCATATTTATCTTTATTTCAAAGTTTAATTTCAAATACGAAGTAAAACAAAATGCGAAACAGCTTAAATTGAACAGGTTGCAAAAACAACCATATACAAATATGGAAATTTTTAAACGACGATTTTCAACCAATTTCGAAACTATAAAAACTCTCCTCATCTACAGAAAATTACCTTTCCAACGGTGTTTTTTGGTTTTGAAATCGGCAACTTTACCTTGGTCTTCATCTTTGTTTTTATCTTTCACATCTTTGCTTATATCCTTTTCTTTTTCTATTCACGTAGATGAGATGAGGTGCGATGACGTGATAAGATGTGACGTGATTTTATGTGATGTAATAGGATGTCATGTCATGTGTTGTCATATCCTCTGATGTCATGTCATATGATGTCATATCATGTGATGCCACGACATGTAATGCCATGTCATATCATACGATGACATATCATGTGATGCCAAGTCATGTGATGTCATGCCATATAATGTGATGTCATTTCATATGATGTCATTTCACGTAATATCGTGTGATGTGATATCATATTATGTGATGTAATATCATGTGATGTCTCTTCATATCATGTGATATAATGTGATGTGATGTCATTTAATGTGATCACATTCCATGTTCCGATTATTATATGGATAACCCTGTTGATAACTGTGGCGATAAAAATACCGATAACAATATCCATAAACATATAGAAAAATACAACGATTGCAAAATCTAATAATTCATCGTTAAATATAACAATCATCAGTATCGATTATTGTACATATCGATAATAATATAAATCAACTATTTAGTCGATTATTATACCGATAACAATATCCATTATTGCATCGATAACAATATAGATTATTATATTGATTATTATATCGATTACAATAGCTGTTATTTAATCAATAACAGTATCGATAACAACATCGATTATTTTATCGATAGCAATGTCGATTATTATATCGATAGAAATATCGGGTTTTATATCGATAACAATATCGATATTCAACCTCATCCTTTTCTTCATATTTATCTTTATTTTTGCATATTCCTCTTCACATTTAACTTAAAATGTTTAAATTTGCTTTGATCTTCATTTTTGCCTGTACCTCTAGGCATCTTTGTTTTTGTTTTTATTCTCAAACCGCTAAACCGCTGAGAACCATTTCCATGTGCATTATTCCCCTTGAATTTGACAATTTACTGCCGCTTTTTTCACTTCATCGTTCTCATTTATTTCTCCATCTTTATATTTATCTTTATTTCAAAGCTTAATTTCAAATGTGTAGTGAAACAACAGGCGAAACATGCCAAATTGAACATGTTGCAGCAACATCTATTCACAATTCGAAAATGTTTAAGCAACGGTTGTGGCCGTAATTTTCAACCAATTGTGAAATCATAAAAACTCTGCTCATCTACGGAAAAATGCCTTACCAACGGTGTTGTTCGGTTTTGAAATCGGTTCGGTAGAATCGCCAAACGAACGGAGACAAAATTTATGTTAGCGTATTAATATATAGATTAAGCAATTATGTAAGACGTATCATTTATGATTTATCTGATCTCGTACTTTTATCTGTTACGATCTTGTAAAATTGCACAAATGCACGTGATTAAAAAGTTAAATAAAAAATTTAATAAATAGCAAAATCTTTTTGGCTAATTTAAAATGTTTCTTATCATTGCTCTATTACTCCTATAGGAGGCTTTCGGGATGCGTCTAATGGGAGCACTCCCTTATTGCTCGTTCGGGAGGAATATGGGATGTTTTCTATGTGCGCTCCCTTGTTGTCTTTTTGGGATGTTTCTGGGAGGTAACTATGGGAGTACTCCCGTATTGCTCCATTACAAGGTTTGTGGGATGATAATTCTGTGTGTGCTCCCCGATTGCTCGTTTAGGAGGTAAAAGGGATTACTCCCCCTCCTAGGACATCCAATGTTAAAGGGAGTATACAAAATGACATGCTTATATAAAGAAGCATAGGGAGCAATGGGGAGTATTCGTATACTCACCGAGCAATCGTACGATGCTCCCAAGTTCTACTGGGTTTTGCCAATACAATAGTAATACATTCACACTTTTGCACAAATACATTCACACAAAGACAATTGTTTTCGCCATTGTGTCTGATTTTCCATAGACAATGATGAAGACATTCACCCCTATGCTGTAATCCGAAAGTTCGTAGTTACGAATTCGTAGCTCCGTTCCGAAAATTCGAAAATTGGTATGCTGTAATCCGATCGTAACTATCAACGGCGTTGCCAACTAAAATAGTGAAATTCGAAGTTCTTAATCAGCTGCTTTGACAGAAACAAATCAAAATAAATATAATCGCAAGTGAACAGTGAAATTAAAAAAGATTGTTTAATCGTATTTGAAAAAGCTTTTCCTTAATTAAGTAAAACAGAATGGATTCAGTGGCCGGTGCACTTTTGTCTCAGGAGGAAGAACATGCTGCAGTCAACTATTGCATTAATATACAAAGGAGATTGCTACGAGACAGTTCTGATCCATTTAGCTTAAATGACAAAATGTAAGTTTTATAATTGATTTCACTGATACACATATAAAATAATCGTTTAAATGTTTAAAGATTTGTAAAAAATTTCCGCCTCAACAAAGACGCATTTAAAAGCGTTTTAACAATTATGGAGGAAGAGCTTGGGCGAAATGTAAAATCATCATCGGTGACTCCTGTAAGTAGATTGATGGCAGTTTTGAGGTTTTTCGCTGAAGGAAGCTACCAACACGGTGTTGGGAAAGATTTTGATGTGGGGTTGGCGCAATCAACGTTCTCAAAAACATTGACAAAAACTTTAAACATCTTGGAACGCCCAGTATGGATTAAATTGTCAATGACGGAGGAGGAGAATAAACGAGCCAAAATGTGGTTTTACAGGAGAACGCAATTCCCTGGCGTTATTATGTGTGTGGACGGCACGCACATTAAAATAACGGGTGATTTTTTAAGAGCTTGATAACTTTTTTTTTAAAAAAAACGCATAAAATTTGCAAAATCTCATCGGTTCTTTATTCGAAACGTTAGATTGGTCCATGACATTTACTTTTTGAAGATAATTTCATTTGAATGTTGACCGCGGCTGCGTCTTAGGTGGTCCATTCGGAAAGTCCAA